TTATATAAATGCATTTAATTATAATTGTCTCCAGGTTGAGTGGAAGAACGCATCTTCTGAAATTGAGTATCTATGTATACAATTGAATAAGTGTGAACTTTGCCTTCGCTATGCTGCCAACCTACTTCATAATAATATAGAACGTAGGATATTTTATATATAATTATTTCCTTGTTTTTCGATCTGTATTTGAAAAAAAATGGTGTTGTAGCAATAAAAGCCATATGATGATAGCTATTTTGCTGTGAGAATTAGGCGGAGATTATAGTATATCTACCTGACAAAATGCGATTCATTACAATATCTGTCTGTAAAAGAACTGACGGGATTCGCATTTGATATCAACTAAAATATTTTTTTCCTTTGGCTCACTTTCGATGAAGTCCTCATTCATAGTGAAAATGTGTTCGATTATCAGAACGTGTATACGTATTATAGGTTAGGTTAGGTTTCATGTGAGTGGGGCGACTACCGCCCCTCCACTGCGACACTATATGGGTCCATTGTGTCTCCCCCCATGAGGTTACAGTTCACTGTACAATGCACATCTTTTAACGAAGTCTATGGTTGAATTTTGTCAGATTTGACATAGATCGATTTCCAGCAAACACATCTGTTATATTTACATAACTGTTATATAACATTAACGCAACATTTTTATATAAAATACGTAAATCTTCCATGACAATTCTAAAACATGTGAACCCCATATCTATATGGAAATCAATATAAAAGTTGCTATCTCATATAAAAGCTACATGACTTCAATACGTATCAAATTATTTGTTTGGGAATACTGAGAATGTTTACTAGCGCTTAGAGACAGTAAAAAAAGAATGATTATCGATGTGGGGGAGCGACTACATTATCATGCATACACCAATTTTCAGGTACGTGCGTGGCGCAGTTGCTTGAGCTTCAGAGCTGCACACCATGCTCAATGCCTGCAAGTGATTTTTCGAAAGATATTCTTTTTGAGAAGACGGTTTATTAAGGACGAACAAGAGGTTAGTTCGATTTGAGTTTGTTTATCCAAAGAAGTATTTTTCAATGCAGAATTGGTTCTGAATTGGTGGGGTCAAATATGTCGAACCTCAGTCCCTCTGAGCAAAAGCATGAACATGAAAATATATGTTCAGTCGTTTACTTCTCCACACAGTGGAACAGACACTTCGTTTGTTGGTTCAGACTCATCCTCCCCAGGTGGTATCTGAGACGACAGTGTGCCGTAAGCAGTCCTTCCAGAATTCGCAGGTTACTTCTGCTCCATTCTAGGATCTGCCTGGTGATGGTTTTTGACGGTTCAGGCAGAATCACCTCCGAATGGGCTTATCCTGATGATTTTGACCAGAACGTGAGTTTTTCTCCTCTGCTCAGTCCGAGATAGTTGTTTTGGCCGCACTTTCGATGATCGTAAAGTATGATTCTGGTCCTATAGACACAGATTCGGTGTCCTGTTTAGTTGTTAGCACTCAGGCATTCTAGGGATTCGAAACAGCTCCATACAAGCTTGGAATATATCTAGCTGGTGCTCAGTGCTTCGAGAGTAGCCTGAATGTCTGATACAATACTGATGTTCTTGTTTACTAGAGGTATATTCGTCAACTCTCTAGCACACAATTAGATTGCTTTCGCCTGAATGATTGAAGCATACTTACCGAGATTGACAGTGATTTTCGTCTTCGGTTTTCTGCTGAACACACCGGCTCCAACTCCACGAAGGGTTTTCGAACCATCTGTGTACATTAGGAGTTTGGTCTCTGAGAATTGGACTGATCCAATTTCCCACTCGTCTCTTCTCGGAAAGATCGCTTTGAAAGACTTCTTCACGTGTGTTTCTGTAGTCAACATGTCGAAAACCATTCCTAGAGATCGGTGATTTTTTATCTCACACATCAGTATCGAAAGGTGTTGAAGTTTGATGAATTTTCTCTATTTATTTTCTTCATTCTGAATCTACTGAAACTAGAGTTGAACTCTCAAACTAGACAATCGAGCGAATTCCAATACCCCAAGTATAATCAGTTGAATTCCTCTATAAGTATATATCTCATAACCGAATGATGGTTTTTTCCTCATCCATCATCATGCAATTCAGGAAAAATGTGTTTGTCAATATTTCGATTTTTTAATTGAAAATTATTTCTTTGCAGGTTGCTGCGATCATCACCTATGGACTTGTTTTGATACGGTTTTATAAAGCCGACATCGAAAAAAATATGGGGAACCCAATATCACGATCTATTATTGATAAATATCATCGATGATCATTGTATATCGAATGATAATTATCATTGGTATACGGTTATCATTATTGTAATATATTTTTCATTATCTACTCAGCTCCTAGGGCGCTAGTTGCTGAGGACATTAAAAAAACTGAGTTTGCGGTAGGTTGCGTCTGAATGAACAACTGTATTTTCCTAAGAAATTGGATGAAAATATTTGCAAATGCTAATAACTTCTGACAACAACCAACCATGTTTTGGAAAAAAAACCACTACATTCTTAGTTTCCGTAATGTTCTCAGCAACTTCAGTTACCGCCCTAGGAGCATAGTACCATGCATCGATATAGAAAATTGTAAATATATCGAAAACGATCACTTTCATGCGTTGCTGAGGAAGTGTACTCCTTTTATTTGGAAAAGGTGTGGCAATAATATTTTTTTCATGAAGAGTACCAAGAGTTCACTGTCAAAAATGTTGAGGCAATTTGAAGTAAATAATTACAGCGTATATACACAGCGCCCTCTAGATGCTCACATGAAAATCAATACGAAATTATGATTTTCCACTTCAGAAAAGCCTGGATACCGAATATCGTGCTAATAATCTATGTTTTGTGAAAGCAAATTTTGGAAAACAAGCAAACACATTTTTTTCAAAAAAAAAAATTATTTGGATTTTCTTCTTCAAATTGTGCCAAGAATACGTCACTTGAATATCTGAAGGTACGTTACACCCTGTATATACCACTCTTCGTGAAAACGGACAATTCGTTGACAATGCATATAGGTAATCTTCATAAAACAAAATAATAAGAATTTTGATTTGGTGTTTGCACAGATCACCCAATAAGGTCTAGATCATATACGTATTAATAATCAATACGGATAATCAATATCTGTTTCCATAGCGAAACATGAAGCCGATTTTTGAAGACAAATGACTATCCATAAGGAAAAGTTTTGAAACGATCAGACACATACTGCTTTGATTGAAAGGCTAGTAAACGTCATTGTCCACCGAAACGCATGTCTTTGATGACTACTATAATAGCGCATGGCGCATGCGTATCATGCCACCAAATCCTTATGGATATTCATTTGTTTCATATTTTTGGCTTCATCCTGGCACCCGTTATGATCCGTATTGTTTATTAATACGTATATGGTCTAGATACGAAAGCTGACACACTGCCACTATCATATACCTGGAGAAAAATGTATCGTTGATTTCACACATCTCCTTTCAACAAATTCTAGAAGAACATCATGATTGAATTATTCGCATAAATAGTTGTAGTATGTACGTGGCTTATTCATAAAAAAAAAATACTCATATACTGACAATTTTGGCAACACATCAGATCAGTATCAGTGCAATGATGGAAGTGAAACCAGCAGGAATATTCCTGATCATTTATATAAGGCAAAGTGAAGCTCAGTGACCGCACCAGAGTTCATCCCATATCTTATTGTCACTTGTAATTATGACAACGCCGGACCATATACATATACTTTGCCAAACATGTAGATACAGATCCTCATGTATTGGGTTCAACATCTGAACATACGCTGATGCTCTCAGATTTCATCCACAAAAGATTCATTCGCCTGGTGGGTGATGTCACACTCACCAACTCTTTGACCCTATCAGAACACCATGGAAGAGTCAGCGACCCCTCACGTTCATACACTGGGTAACCCTGAACTCTCTATCTCCTAAAGAATATGTATATTCACTTACTGAGAATTTGTACTCTTATTTCGATATTTTAAATTGCATATAATCTTTCCTTCAGTCAATTTTTTCTCATACAGCTCCAAAATATTCCAGCAATATTCAAAAATGATTCATAGTTTGAGAAAAGTCCTCTGAATGAAATAATCATATGACATGATTCAAATTGGCAAGTCATTAGGACTCAATTTGATTCGGATACGGTATATAATATTGTTTCTACTACTCCTATTCTCATTTATTTTCGAAAACAAAAAGGTTCTGTCCTACAGCACTTGTGATGATACTACTTATCAAGAGAAATATTCATCTAGATTCAACAATATTTGTGACAAAATTTCAGTCAGAAATTCAGTAGATCTGTGAGGATACGATTTCTAGAGAAGGAACAGAACACGGAGTGCAGCGTAATTAAAGCTATCTTAATACAAGTTGAGTGGGATGTTAACTGAACACAAGAGATGTTCCGCTTTCCTACTGAATGGAAATTAGCATAAATTGAGTTAAGATAATTGAAATTTGATGAGAGAAACAACAATGAAAATTCCAGTGGGAAACGTGGACTCCACTCAAAATCCTACACGGTAAAACAAGGAATATCATACCGTAACAATGGTTAATAATATAGACACAACCAGATACAAATCGTTGCTGATACTGATGTATTAATTTGTAACCATGACGATATTCTGGCTATAGTTATCATGAAAAATGGTTGGTGTAACAAGATATCTGGTTGTGCTTATACTATAACCAGAGGATTTTCTCAGTGTATACAGAATAATCTGAATCTATAAGTATCATTTTTTAGCAACAAATAATAATTCGAACGTAATACTGCATGTTCATATTTTACATTTATGGTAGTAATTAACTAAGTAGTGATATTTGAATAAAAATGTCAATTTTATGTCAAAATAGATCGTTTAACATGTACATACACAGTTGTGTAGTTTCGTTGTTAGTACCTGATCTGTTCTTACACATTTGTGCGGACTAGTTGTTTGTATGTGAGTTTTTTCTTTTTTTTTTCAGATTACAACCTAGACACACAGCAACATGTGGATGAGTTATTAGAATTATTGCATAATGATTCTGAGTAAGAAGGAGATGACTCAGATGCTGATCCAACTTGGATCGATGACAGTGCACTCCCACCAAGAAACCTTGGAGAGAGCGACTCAGATTCATCAGATGACTGCGAAGTAGAGCAAACACAAAATACAGTGAGTAATGCTACGCCGGCTCCTTCTGTTGTCCTGGAGCAAAACACTAAAAGAAGTAGCGTACCAAAAAAGTCAAAACCTGAATTCACATGGGGTAAAAAGATATTTCAAAGTGTCGAAGACAAGCCGAATGAGAAAGACTTTCTAGCTAATAGGACAGGCGTTGTATTCAAAACTCCATTGGAATACTTCTGAACATATTTCCCAGACAGTAATTTTGAACAAGCCTACAGAGAGTATTAACCAGAATGTTCTTCTCCTATGCCAAATCACATCAAGGAAATTACGTGTAACAGAAAATTCCACTATATAAACCCTTAGAATATCAATATGTCATCCTTTCCTTTTTGATTGGTTCTCGGACATATTGTACTATAGATAACTCTATGAATATCTGGCTATGGCAATATGAAAGCCCTTACATGTTTTATAGTTTTATATTAGGCATGATATATCCTTGTTGTCTTCATCCTTATTTTTGACTGGGGCTTCACACGAGCTGTGCATTGTATATTTCTGAATGTATTTTGGGAAGTTTCACATCTTGAATTGCAAATGGCCTATTATATTTCATCCAACTATTCGTATACAGTGTGGAGACTTCAACTGGAATAAACCCGTTATCGGGAAGGTGAATATTTTTCCTGGAAATGCTCACATACGTCAACGATTGAATGTATTCACATACCTCATGCAATATCGAGAATCTATCCATGCAGGGGTAGCTGAAACCACCATCAATATTATTTTTTCAAATGTCACCATATGGCTTATGACCCTCAATTGGAAAACGGATGGAAAGAGGAGTTTGGCATACTAGACAAATTTCAGTTCCTCATGCGTTTGAAGGTTGCATGAAATTGAAATGTGAATTCAAAATTCTTTTTTTTTTCGAACGTATCAATCGTTCATAATGTGTGTTGAACAATGGATGGCAATGTTTTGCAACAAAATTCAGTCGTTGTGCTGTATTCACATTCCGAAGCGGAGTGTTATTGCAAACTGGTGGAAATGCCCGAGTTCACTGTCACTAAAAAGTCGAAATTTTTATGAAAATACTTCGAATATTATGTTGAATTTCGAAATAATATATCGATGTTATACGACCTCCAAACGTAGTGCGAACTGAAATTTGATCAGTACGCTGGATCCCTCTTTCAACCAGCTTTCCATTGAGTCATAGTCGCAAACCATATATTTGCTTCTCAAAACAACCTGTGGAGGTAGATATCTGTTACCTCGGGTTATATTCTCCATAATATTGCTCGCGAAATGCAACTGAATACATTTTTTCTACTCACATAACTAAAATGGCATTCAGCGTACGAATATGTACCACGCTAAATGATCGATTAATCACGGATTGTCGATCTGTGATTTATTCAAAATATTGAACACGTTACCATGGCAACACGATTTCTTCAAACACATTACCATGGCAACACAGCTCCAGTAATTTGAGACATGGCTGGCCTGTCCATTGTATAAACTGTCAACTGTTATTTGAGAATTTTGTATCAGAATTATCCAAACAATATTCGTTTGTATCATCAGAATGCTTCATTAAAAATATATGCGAGAAGTAGACGAATGTGAAATCGGAGAGAATGTTCTGGTACTTGCATATCTCCAAGAAGTGTATAATTGAAGCATAAGCAATGGACTGGACACATCTACAACCAATATCACTTATACCTGTCTTGCTGGTTGCATGCAGTTGCATGTATTATGTTCTCAATTTCCATTCCTTTCGAATTATTTGGTAGGTTAGCAGTAATTGCAGGTATATTAATGTAATTTTCGGTGTTCGTAGTGAAATCATGGTATGTAACGCGTTTATAAACTCTTCTAGACACTCGTTTGTCAAACACTCGCTCCGCTGTGCTCCGCTCGTGCTCAAACTACTCGTTACTAAAAGGACGTTTATAACACTTGTTACATAATATACTATAAACGTTGACGTGTCTAGCGAATTTTCAGAAAAACAATTTTCCTCATCCAGTAGCGAATTTATTCCAGTTGAAGTTTCCACCCTGTATGTATGGACATTGTCCACAAATACGAATGTTCTTTGAACATATATATATGCTTTGCATATATTGGATTGAATAAGTGGATTGGATGGCATTGAATTGTTTATCTTTAAAATAATCGAAATTGGAGAATTTCTTTGACAGCATATTTTCAGTCACATGAATGAGCAACTATTTTCAAATGTAACCTGGCCTCCGAATCTGAATCACCCAGTTTAGTTTTTTTTATGTTCTGGTTCCCACGAAGAAGGATATATCCTGTAATGTTCAGAGAACATCGTGAGAACCAGGGAAAATGAGGTAGGAATTGGTGTTCTTCAAATATACGGGGTGTTTCTCAAGTACGTGTTGCAAATGCGGGAACAAGTTGCTGACGTCAAAATAAGAAGAAAGATTCTTATTAACATTCCTCCTCTTTCAATAAATTTCGGACATACAGAGTACCAGAGTTCGATTCATTTCACAAAAAAACGAATAACAATCAAAATATGACACTCTGTATCACAGAAACAAATAACTTGCGGAATAATGTTCGTTCGAACTACACTTCTAATTTTGACGTCAGTAACATGCTCCTGAATTTGGATCATGTACTTGAGAAACAACATGTATATCGTTATTGTTCGAATGAATTCATCTCAATGAATATCATTGGTTTTTATAATCATTATATCTCGAATCATGCCCACAATGTAAGTCTATTGAATTGATCTCCAAGTTGTTCGATTCGTTTGGTGCATAATAGTATCACTATTGATAATATCGTAAGTTAAACACTCATGATGTTATCACTACTAAAAATCGAATTAAATTTGAGTATGATTATCTGTTTCAAGGGTCACGTGTGACGTACAGACGAATGGAAAGATAAAATCGTCGATGGTTATCAGTCAAACTAAACACGACTGGTACCTACCCCAGCTATTGTAAACTAATTGCACCCAAATCAGGGCTACCAACCTGTGATTCGAAGTCAGCTATGACAAAGAAATTGGTTTAAATGGCCAAGTTTCAATAAGAATGGCAGTCAAATAAAGAACGTTCCATACCGAAATCAAATAATCAACAAATCACGAAGAAATTAGAGGGAAGTTTGGGGAATTCAATTCGGATTATTGTTAGCCAAAGTAGACTCATCTGTGGTCGCAATGGAGGGGCGGTATTTGCCCCAATCACATGAAAACTAACCTAGTACACCGAAAGAACAATCTCAGTAATAATTATCGAATATTTGTTAACGTCAAATTTGTTTATAATTAATTAGTTATATTCATAATTAGAAAGACTTATTCATCAAATCATACATGTTTTTTTGTTTCATGTATTAACGATAAATGATTTAGTGCCGTCATCATCATTTAATAATCAACAATTCATCTATTACGCCGATTCCCGAAGTGATAATCAATAAGATGAATTCATAACTACTATAATGTGATTTGGTGATAATCAACAATGATACAATGTCTGTCAATAAATCAATAAGTTTATTCATTGTGATACTTTCTTTCATCATACATATATGTAATATAATGGATAATGATAGATATTTTATGTTATTCTTCGTTTGGTAATTAAACAAATTCATTTAGTAATAATTAAAGAACTGTCATGCGCATGGGCCATTTTGGTTTACTTCCATCTTATATAGCGTGAGCATCTTCATGAAATCGTTGATGATTTCCTTGTTATTTGAACCAACGCAAAAGTTATGAAGTGAGATGGTTATATTAGTACAAGCCCTTATATGACAGTGCGTGTTTGTTCACATTTGAACATGTATATTTACGTCAACAATAAGCTTCTTGAGATAATTTCATGGAGATACGACATCACATATGGAAAGAATGGCAGGCGACTATATCAGTGCATTTATTATACAATAATTAGTATGTTTTCAAAAAAACTGTGGTGCATGTGGTGCTAATTAATATAGGAACATTTTGAACGTGAGAAGGTGCGAATATCTATGTAGTCTGCATGAGTATTTTCTTATATTATTTGCTATGCATGAATTTGAAAGAAAGTTATTTTCATGCAACCACAATTTATTTCTCGATCAATATTTGTTGATGATGGGCATAGCCACAACAACAAACTCAGAGTCGGTCGACCACAAAATGGTATATGAAACACTCATTTGTGTGCCTAGTTTCGCCAACATGGCCATCTTCAGACACAACAGTGATTGGTTTGGGTAAAGGTTTCACGAAGGATGATTTTCAATAATTTATCGAAGAAACTTCGTTATCCCAGATTAGTGTTCTGAATATAATTTCCATCCAAGATAATTAAAGCTTAGGTCTCCACACTTCCACCCAGCAGAAAATAAATGGCTCTTTTCTGGGATCAATTTCAATATTCCTTCTCCCACTTTATAGAAAAATGTAGAAGTTTCAGCAGTGGACGCTGAACAAATTATTAATTCTTTTAAATCTGATAATTGATTTCTTCCTAGAGCTCAAGCTGTCACAATTGACAATTCTATTATTGTTAATACTAACAACCATTATATTAACGCGAAAAAAAATCACACTATCCTTTTCATTAAAAACAAACTTGAAGATAGAACGGATAGGATGATTGTTATTTGCGTTATTATAAGTGTAGTTGGAATTAACGAGAATAGAATTGATAATTGTGTTTATTAATCTTCTGAATTTTTCTCCAAAGTGAAAGAAAAAATATCGCAATTGATGCCAGAAGGTAGCACTTTTTATTCTTTTGAGTCGAAGTCTGAAGACCTAAGCTTCAACAATCTTGGATGAAAATTATGTTCAGAAAAATGTGGAGGTTTTAATCGATTGGATCGATAACGAAATCTGAGATTACGAAGTTCCTTATAATATTCATTGAAAATCATTCTTCCTGAATTGTCTACCCAATCCAATTACTATTGTGTCTGAAGAGGGCCATGGTGCCAAAACTCGTCACACACATGAGTGTTTTATATTAAATTTTGTGGTCGATCGACTTCAAAATTGTTTCATTCTCTCCTTTTGAATGATACTGGACCACTTTGAGAATGGATGGTTTCCATGACTCAGCATCACTATACTTTGACTTCATAATTTTTTAATTCCTTTCGCAAACAAACCTACTGGTCTGATGAGAGTCGAAGTAAGGTCAACCTTCACCCATCTGTTCGAATAATTAAAATTA